GTTTAGTAAAATCAAATTATTGTATACAGATACGGATAGTTTAATATATCATATATTTACAAATGATTTTTACACTGATATAAAACCTGACCTTTCATCATACTTTGATACCTCAGATTATGATACAAATAATATTTTTGAATATCCAAAATTAAATAAAAAGAAATTAGATTTTTTTAAAGATGAAAATAATGGTAAAATCTTGAAAGAATTTGTGGGTTTACGATCCAAAATGTACGCTTTTAACTTAGAGAATAAGACTATAGCCAAGGCAAAAGGGGTAAATAAATGTATCACTAAAAAGATGACAATGAATAGTTATAAGTCTTCTCTATTTAATAAAAAAGTGCAATATTATAGTATGCTTAGATTTAAATCAATTAAACACACAATTTTCACACAAAAATTAAATAAGATAGGTTTATCATATAATGACACAAAGAGACATATTTTAGATAATAATATTGAAACATTAGCTTGGGGTCATTATAAACTGCGTTAAGTGTTGATAGTTTTTACTTTTATGTCTGCGTTTAAGAAAAATTTATATTGATTGTAAAATTATGATAATACTATAATATGACGTAGTTTATTACAAATTTAAATATTGTTTTATTGTAAATAATTTAAGTTAATTGTTGTTTCTATTTATTTGAGGTTGAGTTAATTGTAAAATTATGATGTACTAATTGTTGTTTCTATTTATTTGAGGTTGAGTTAATTGTAAAATTATGATGTACTAATTGTTGTTTCTATTTATTTGAGGTTGAGTTAATTGTAAAATTATGATGTACTAATTGTGTTAGAAATAGTATACAGATAATTCTGTTTTATATAATTTTTGGAATATATATTAATTGTTTACACCAACACTTTCATTTTTTATTTCACCCCTTTGAACTTTAGACGTGTGTTATGTTTCACTTTATCCATCCGTTCACTGCTATTGTGGCAGGACCAAGTGGGTGTGGGAAGTCAAATTTTGTAACAAATTTCATAAAATCAGTTACAGAAATATGTAATTGTGATTTTAATCAGATCACATGGTGCTTTGATGAAATGCAACCATTATATAATTTACCAAATGTTAACTATCATCAAGGAATTCCAAATCTTAATATGTTTGATGGTGAAAACCCACATCTTGTTATTATTGATGATCTAATGAGAGAGTCCGATGGAAGAATTGTGGATATATTTACAAAAGGTAGTCATCACAGGAATCTTAGTGTATTTTATCTAACACAAAATTTATTTCATCAGGGTAAAGGACAAAGAGACATATCTTTAAACTCAAGTTATATAATATATTTTAAAAACCCTCGAGATAAAACTCAAATAAGATATTTAGCAAGACAAGTATCACCAGATAACCCAAAATTCATTGAAAATGCCTACAGGGATGCAACTCTAGAGGCGCATGGATATTTAATGGTAGATTTAAAACAGAATACCAATGATTTTTGTCGTATCAAGACAAATGTCTTTCCATTTAATGGTTTCTGTACAGTCTACGTCCCCACAAAAGAGTTTAAATACACCAAGAATCAAACAATTGAAATCATTGCTAAATGATGCATCGTCGACTCACAACGTATAAACATTTGCTAACCGCTTTGCATACGCTTAAACCAAAATATCAAAGAGCATTACTTAAAACGTGTGATGAAGAAGAAATTAACTGTATTTGTGAGTGTATTCATAACGTTTTACAAGGAAAAGTACCTCTTAAAGATCAGGATAAACAAAAATTGAATAAACATAAAAACATACTCCGTAAACTAGTACGTAAGTGTAAACATAAACTAAGAAAAAATATAATTATACAAAAAGGAGGGGCTTTCTTACCAACAATATTAGGTGCAATATTGAGTGGATTAGTGAGTGGACTAGCCAGTTAACATGGAAAATGCAAAGAAAATGATACTTATCGAACCTGGATTGATTGAAAAATTAAAACAAGAAAATAAGGTTAATAGTAATTTATCTCGATTAGATATTGAAATGCAAAATATTATGAATAGTAAGACGGAAGACCGAAAGAAATGGATATTATATTTACAAACACTGCAAAGATACCTTCATTTTACCGAAGAGGATCGTCAACCACTCAAATTATCAATTTATTCTGATACATCTAATGAAGATTCAAATGAGTCAAAAATTGGTTTTAAAAATAAAGATAGAGATCTAAAAACTTCAGTTGATATTGAATCTTTGCTGGAGGAGAATCGATCCATTAAAAGTAAAGAAAATGATGAAAATCCACTTTACACACCAACTCAAATACTCAGTTTAATACCAAAAACTTATCATAAAAAAGGGCAGTTATTATTAAACTTAGTTGAAACAAGTAAAAGTAAAATACATTGGGATAACGAAGGTACAGTCATAATTGATAGTGAAAAAATTCCTGGAAGTAATATTGTTGATTTAATAAATGATTCACTAAGACCCCTAAAAAGAAGTGATCCGGTAGGGTGGGTTAGATTTGCTGAAGCATTAAAAGATATTAAAGTACCACTTACTTATATTGGAAATCCAAGGAGATGTGAGTTTATTAACCAACTTCAAGCAAAAGATCTGAACAAACCCTCTGAGATTGAAGTTCAAGAGTTTTCTACACCGTGCAGTAGAGATAAAAAGTCTACAACTAAAATACGTAAAGGACTTGAGTGGGAAAAATGGACTCCGTACTAGAAGAAATTAACAGGATTTATTATGATCCATCTAATCCCGCTGGTTTTGGTAGTATTGATAAATTATCAAAAGCCATGAAGGGTAAAATGAATAAAAAGCAAGTAAAGGAATGGTTAAAATCACAAGAAACATACACATTACATAAACCCATTCGAAAAAAATTCCCGCGTAATAGGTACATTCTATCAAATATTAATGAACTGTGGCAAGCTGATTTAAGTGATATGCGAACTTATTCTCAATATAATGATGGTTTCAAGTATATACTTTGTATTATTGATGTATTTAGTAAATATGCTTTTGCAAGACCAATGAAAAAGAAAAACTCAGAAACAACTAAAGAATGTTTTGAAAGTATATTTACTGAAAGTAATTTAACACCTACTCACATACAATCCGATAAAGGTACAGAATTTGTTTCAAAAGATGTACAAAAATACTTTAAATCCAAAAAGATTAATTACTATACCACTAACAATCCTGACATTAAGGCCAGTATTGTTGAACGATTTCAAAGAACACTAAAAATGAAAATGTGGCGTTATTTCACTCATAATAATACTTATAGATATATAGATGTTTTACAAGATTTAATATACTCTTATAATCACAGCTTTCACTCTAGTATTAAGATGTGCCCATGTGATGTAAATTCCAACAATATTATGACAGTTTGGACTAATCTTTATGACAGACGGTCAAAAAAACTTTCTTTAGAAAATCCTAAACCAAATTTCAATGTGGGTGATTATGTTCGAATAACTAAATATAAACATGTATTCCAAAAAGGATATGAATCAAATTGGAGTGATGAAATATTTATTACATCTTCAATAATTGATAGATCTCCATGGGTTGTTTATACAATAACAGATTTACAAAATGAACCAATAATTGGTACTTTTTATGAAAGAGAATTACAGAAAATCACTTACAACCCCACCTCACAACATAAAATAGATAAAATAATTGACACTCGTTATTCAGGTAACAGAAAAGAAGTATTAGTGAAGTGGAAAGGTTATCCAGATAAATTTAACAGTTGGATTTTAGCTTCTAGTTTAAAAGAAATATGAATAAAGAAAGTTTCTATTTAACTTTGCTCAGCAATAGTTCAATGGAATACTTTCCTGATAACAAGACCACAAATTTTTCAACGAAATTACCAAAAGCTATAAAATTAGAAGGTGAATGGTCGGTTGGAGTTGTCGAGTTTCAATATCCATGTACCATGTTTACTGTTCAAGACCATGAAAATGTTATATACATTACAAAATCTATGTTAATGCCTAATGAAGATAAGCCATCCACAGTGTACTACAAAAAACATATTCCAGCTACCAACTATGATAACGTTGAGCATATTTTAAGAGTGTTAAATGGTATCGGAGAGAACTTGAAATTTCGCTATGATGAAATAACAAAATTTGTGTCTATTTCGGTATTGGATAAAAATATAACATCCGTAACATTATCACCCAAATTAAGTTTACAGCTAGGTTATGAACCAAATAAAAATCTCCTAGAGAGAAATTTTGGAAAGTGTCCTGCTAATTTACACTTAGGGTTACCATCTCAACTATTTCTATATTGCGATATTATCGATCCTCAGATTGTGGGTGATGTTATGACTCCTTTATTAAGAGTCATTTCATTAGATCCTACAAAATACATTTATGGTGCAAATAAAATGCACGTTTTCTCTCAACCTCACTACTTACCTGTTATGCGAAGAGAGTTCGATACGTTGGAAATAGTTATAAGATCGAGTACAGGACAAAAAATACCATTCCAGTTTGGAACCGTGTGTATTAAACTACATTTCCGAAAATTATAATAATGAATTCTCTTCGTGATCATCATAAATGTCCATATGAAAATTATTATACACATCAAGCTGGATCAGGAGTTGGAGTAATTTATAAGGGTTCACCATATCAACGCGGTCATGGTATTGGGAGCTTCTTAGGGGGGTTATTCAGATCAGTTTTACCTTTACTTTCAAGTGGTGCTCGAGTGATTGGTAAGGAGGCATTAAGCGCTGGAGTAGGACTTTTATCGGATATGGTTCAAGCCCGTCCTATGGAAGCCTCAATAAAAGATCGTCTAAAGCAAGTTAGTACGAATTTAAAACGAAAGGCTGATGAGAAAATTGATCAATTTAACATGACTGGATCTGGGTATAAAACTAAAAGAAAACGATTGACATCGTTCATTCCACCATTAACTGCTAAAGTGAAAGCTGCGAAAAAACTTAGTCTAAAACCAAAAAATATCAAAGATATATTTTCAAACTAAATATGTCTTTCCTTCATAATCATTCTTGCGAGTGCGTTAAGTCAGAATTGGATTTGTTTGCACTACCGTCTACACAAACTAGCATTGAAAATGGATTGTGGATTCATTATAAACCAATTTCATCTCTTGGTGATGATGGACCTATCGAGTTTCAAGTTCCTGGGACCGGCGATGACTACATAGATTTGTCTCATACATTACTCCACATAAAGGCAAAAGTATTAAATCAAGATTCAACTAACTTGGTATCTACTACAATAGTAGCACCTGTAAATAATTGGCTGCATTCACTTTTTAGTCAACTTGATGTTTATTTAAACCAAAAACTTGTATCACCACCTAATAATACCTATGCATATCGAGCATACATGGAAACCCTTTTAAACTATGCCCCTGCTGCTAAACAATCTCATCTTACTTGTAGTCTTTGGTATGAGGATACAGCAGGAAAAATGGATTCTACAGATGGTAAAAACATAGGATTTGTTAAAAGACAGGAATTGATTAGTGAAAGTAAGGAAATAGAAATGATTGGTCATCTTCACGGTGACATTTTTAACCAAGATAAATTTTTAATTAATGGTGTTGAAATGAGTGTTAAATTGGTTCGATCTAGAGAGAGTTTTAATTTAATTGTTGGATCAAACGATGTAAAGTTTAAAGTTTGTATTACGGACGCAACTCTTATTGTTCGACGAGCACGAATTAATCCAAGTGTATTACTCGCACATCAAAAAGTTTTAGCTTCTACCACTGCTAAATATCCTATTACTCGAGCTGAAGTAAAAGTTTTAACAATTCCTTCGGGTGTTCAAGGAAAAACTCTTGATAATATATTTTTAGGACAGGTACCGAAAAGATGTATAATTGGATTTGTGAACAATTCTGCATTTAATGGTTCCCTTACTAAAAATCCATTTAACTTTGAAAACTATGGTATTAATTCTTTCAGCTTATATATTGATGGTCAACAAATACCTTCAAAAGCTTTGCAACCATCTTTTAATAATAGCATATTTACATCAGCATATCATACTCTATTCTCGGGAACTGGTATTCACTTTCTGAATGAAGGAAATGGAATCTCTTGTGAACAGTATGGCAAAGGTTACTGTCTATTAGCATTTGATTTAACTCCTGATTTATCAGCTAACTCATCAACTCATTGGAATCTCATAAAGCATGGTAGTGTAAGAATAGAAGTACGATTTGAATCCTCATTAATACAAACAATTAACTGTATAGTTTATGCTGAGTTTGATAATATTATTGAGATAGATAAAAACAGAAATGTTACTGTAGACTATAGTAGTTAAGGTTATAATATGTGTTGTGTGTTAGATTTTATGTGTTATGTGTAATGCATTTTGTGTGTATGTAACTATGTGAAACGTTATAAAATTAAATAAAACAAATTGTATGCAATATATTTTTTTTTATTTCTTTATAAATCTTCTATTTAATCTAATACAAAACACTGTTCGAGTTGAAATTTTACATAAGCACACTGACTAAACCACTGAACATGCTGCTGCCAAGGATCATCATCATCTTCCCAATCTTTTAAACCACCACCACAATGGAAACACTTGGTCCCGTCTGCATGGCCAGTATAAAAGAAACCAGCTTCTGCAAGATCTTCAGGTTTCTGTCGCATAACTAGAGGCCAGTTTTCGAAACTAAGCAAACGGCTAGATTTTGAACTGAAGAATGGATATTCAGCTCTTGAGTACTGCATACTCTTCTCGTTTTCTTCTCCACTCAGTGTTGTAGTTTTGTTATTCAATGATGTGTTTTGTACACGTATGCCACACTCATCTCTTCCTTCCGCTCTTGTCTTCCTGTAATTGAAGTAAACAGAATCACATTCACTAATGATCAGCTAATGACTGTCATTGTTAAAAAAGTATTTTTTAACTTTTTCACTTTCTGCTATTGTCTTTGTTATATTGTATACGAGGGCGTTTGTGTTGTCGTAGATGCTATCCTTATTAGTCTTTACGTAATATTTAATTCTAGTGGAAGCATGTTTCCAATGATCAGTAGTTGGAATCTTGGATAGCTTCTTCATATCGTACATTTCAATTTTGATGAGATGCGTCGCTTGGTCTCCGTCGTCAGAATTAGTAGAAATGTATGATACACCATCTCTAGCGGCTCGTGCTACGGTTGATGATAACAGCTTCCTCTTTTTTATTTTTGATTCAGCTTCAAAAAAATGATCAATCGATTGCGATTTTCTTTTTCCACCATCGCATGTGTTATTATTAATGACGAGGTTATCACTCTCTTCTTGAGGGGAGAGTGGCGAGTAGTAATACTGTTTATAGGTATCTTCATCGAAGCTCAATGATTTCTGCAACAACACAGTTATCATGTTAATATCAATTTGTTAACACTTAATCATAAAAGTTAAAAAAGTTAAAGTTACAGCCTATTAAAGTCCACTGCTGAACATAGGCCTCCTCTCATTTCTGAGAGGGTTTTAGAGCAAGGAAATGTCCGCCGCGCTCCCTCAATGTGTGTTGGCGAACTTCACATGCCTTCGAAATTTTCTCAGACATGCAGGTTTCCTCACGATGTTTTCCTTCACCACCAAGCACGTGGTAATAAGCACTTAAAATTGCTATTAACAATTTAATTGGTGCTGGCGGGGATCGAACCCGGGTCGCGTACTGTGAAATTTACAGCTAGCGCTAACCATCTGAGTTACCACGGCTTAATCATATACATACACAATATTTAAATAAAATAATACACACACATGAAAATAACAGAAAAAAAGTAATTTAGTCAATAGAATAAACACTTACATCCATAGCCTTTGGTGTATTGAAGTAACACAAATGTACTATTGATAGATCCACTGTAGCCAAACGACCGTACACTAACTCGATGACTGCATTTGTTGGTCTTATATACCACCAGTACGTAAAAATTCTAATCTAAAGTATTTCCGTAATGAGTTGATAATTACTTTATGCGTCAACCAGTTTATCTCACATTTCCGTTGCCTATCTCAACATTTCTTCGTATTGTGTTTTGTTTGGTGATCAATGACTCAAGTACGATTTGTATATCACAAAAATGCAATTTAATATGTAGAAATCACTATAATTGACCATTCCTATGTTATTCATTGAGTAGCTAGGTACTGTAATAATCTACTAATAGCAATAATATCATGGATACACTAGATGTACAACAACATCTGAAAAAGATTCACCCCAGTCTAGAAAATAATGTTTATGCAGCTAATAGACTGCCTATGTATACCCACGTACCAACGTATATAATATGTAATTTGGATACAGATGATAAACCAGGGTCACATTGGGTAGCTTTATATATCGATACGAATGACGTCGGTCAATATTTTGATTCATATGGACGATCACCTGTACGATATCATCTAGAGTTTTTAAAAAGGAATTGTAAAAGATGGAACTGGAATGTTGATAGGATTCAGAATGAGTGGACTTCAGTTTGTGGCGAATATTGCTTAATGTATTTACTATATAAGTTTCAAGGATGTTCAATACATAGTTTTACGAGTATATTTACAAGGAACACATTGTACAACGATATTTTAGTGGATGAGATGTTTCGCTCCTATTTTATAGATAATAATTAATAAGATTTTGTATTTTATAAATAAAAATTGTAACAAAATTATGTAATGTGTTTTATTGATGATTCAGATTCGCGTTGTATAATTAGGAACAAAGAACTATAACACAATAGCACTGGTATAGTCGACGCACACGCTGCAATGAAGGTGATTAAGGAACAATAGAACAATAGAAATAGGAACAATGGGACGCTAATGACGGTGGAGGCCCTTACCGGATATCAATTAGATATTAGCTAATTGATCTACACATCTCTGGAACCGTGCATTCTACACGAAAATGGACCGCGGATTCGTGATCAGAGCATGAGGATCGGGCGTCGACGAACGTCGTTGAACCACGTCTGACTCAGGTGGTCTAGAAGTGGTACAACTACCCTACTAACGAGCGATCACATCTGCATTTGGATGACAACGCATCTGCATTTTGATTCTGAATTAAGGTAGATTAATGTATAGGCCACAGAATTCACCTACCAACAAGTGGACTGTATGCTTACTTAACCTTACTTAAAAATGATCAAAGTGAAAGTTTGTCATAATATTATATTTGTGCATAGTATGCAAGTTAAATCTTTGTATTAAAGTTTTTGTTTTACAGTGAAAATAGTAATTTAAGTTATGTAGGTGCCAGACAGCCCTCTCTTCATCGTGAATAATCCTTGATTTAGTAAAAGTAAGATTACAACCTCTAACTATTTGCCTAAAATATCCACCGCGCTGCTCTAATGCGTGTTGGCGAAATTGTCTTCATGTATTCGAAATATATTTTTTAATTTCTCATACATGCCGGTTTCTTGACGATGATTTTCTTTACCGTCGGGGCACATGGTACTCTGGTCTGGCCTCTTTTAAACCAGAAACCTCCTTTATTCCTAAATAAAGATACTATGTAAGTACATTGCATAATATCAATTTATAAAAAAAAGAATGATTATCATGTAACAGAAATTTTATTCATGAATTCATCAAATAGGTTTTTTTGCAAAATAATCCGTTATTTTTCTACTGATCTTCTTTTTTACTTCTACTGACATATCCATTTGTATTTTGTCAGCGTCCATTGCTCCGTCACTACAACTACTCGTCTCGGGGATATACCCGAAAGACAATGAATGAGTACTGTTTAAATTTAAGCTTCCATTGCCTTCATCAAGTTTTTCCATCTCTTGGAATAAGCGTGACGTTTGGTTCGACTGCTCTGTGAGGTTAATGTCAGCCATTTTTTTGTCCTCCGCCATCTTGTCCTGCGTTTGTTCCTTTTCCTCTAAATTTTTATTTGAAGAATCCAACTTCTCTTTTGAATTATTATCTTCATCCATGGTAACATCAAGTGAAAACAAATCCGGCGAATCCAGTAATTCGTTTTTCAACATATCTGTTATTTTTAAGCATTCTGCAGCCTCATTCTGCAACACAAACAATTATTAATTCTAATGGTACCAAGGAGAGCATACTACTTGTCTCATAGAAAATCAAAGTTTTATTTTATAGAAGAGGGCATGCGGCTCACCTGCTGGTAAGTGACTACCGTCGCCCATGAGCAACTGCAACACCAGAGGAATTGCAGATGCGTTGCCGGCCTTTTTAGAAAGGAGTAAGCTCTTTTCTTGCAGGACTCTAAGTCGTGTCACAAAGAGGTTGTGCGAGCAAGAAAAGTCCTTGTAAAACGCACAGTGGACCGCCAAGCATCCAGATGATGTGGATGGTATCGTGAGATCGCTACTAACATGTTGTTTATAGAAATAAGTTACCTACTTTTAAACATGTGATGAATATAATACAATACACACAAGTTACAATGATTTTAATAATAGACTAATTTACAACATAAAATAAGGTATGTTTTAGACAGTAAGCCGATAATGTGCAAAGGCAAATCATTGCTAACTTCAAAAATATACGAAGTTGGTGGTTGTAAGAGTTAATTATAAATAGTTAACATAATATATTATTAACATGTTTTTACTAAAAAAAAACTAATAATTACTACGAATATTATCAATATTGTATATTACATATTATAGAATTGAACACTTGCTATTGTTTTGTATTGTTACGAGCTTGGGGTTAGAGACAATTAAAAACTGCAGACTGAATTACCATAATTGACACTTTAATTACACAACACTAATTACAATCTAAAACCACACTAATAATAAAACAGAATCACTTTAGTTCGCAGTTATTTCGCTTCGAAGTATTCTCTTGTATCGCCAATTCAATACTCCTCAGTCGTGACTCGTGATCTATACCGGCCTTATATAGGGCCTCAGATAGTTTCCAGAACCTTCTACTGTAGCGACATCTAGAATGTTCGAGTACATATCGGTTCCGAAATTTCTGGAAGCATCTTGACTCTCCTAGTTCTGCTACTCGACACTAGAGGGCGCTAGTGTAACTAGTGTTGCCATGTACAAGACATTAACAGTGGCGCGCAACACTGCCCCCTCCTAAGAAATGCTCGTCCCGAGCATTATTGGCCCCATAATAACGCGCCAGTCGATCCACATGGACGATCTTAGGAGTACCTCTGGCACCTTTCTGTATCCGGTAGGTTACGTCATTGATCCTTGTCAAAATCCGGTACGGTCCGTCCCATTTAGTTTGAAGCTTAGGAGATTTCCCTTTGCTGCGAGCTGGATTGTGTAACCACACTAGAGAACCTTCGTCAAACCCTTTGTT